ATATATATATATACTGTATATTATGTAAACAAAAACTTTTATTTTTGATGTGATCATTTGACAGCACCAATTTATATACATATTATGTAAGTAGTCTGCAGTACTATTATAAAGCTCTCAAACTACCGGAATTTCATCTTTCTTTTTGGCCATATGAATCAGCATTTGCACCAAATAGCATATTTTGCTCTCAGGGCCTTGAGGGTGTATTCATATTATCACTATACCATACTACATGAGCAACAAAAGCCTGATTTATCAAATATGATACCCAGATTTTAAGGTTTAAAAAAAGAGAGATGTTTCTGACTATTATTTCATATGTCAGGATAAACAGGGTTGTAAAACTGTGCTCGTACTTCTGCGTGATGATCTTCTCTAGTTCGGGCAGCTGGTCTTTCAGAGCTGGAATGAGTCTGGAATCTTCACACACTGTCTCATAAAACTCCTGCAACAAACAACAAAGCTTTGTGAACTGGTTAACTTGAATCAGCTAACACGGCTGAGCGGATCAGAGCTGCTGACCTGGAGGAAGTTGAAAGAGCTGTCCTCCTCCTGCAGGTGCTCTGTGTTGATGGCGGCCCACTGTAAGACCAGACGAATCACCCTGCGCTTGTTATTGAGAGAGTAATCCATCCGCTCCTGTTCACTGCCCTGAGACGGCTGAGCGTGATAGGTGAACGAGCGCTAAGGACTTCAGAGCCACACACGATCTGAGAGTTTAGCGACCTTCTCATTTGTTGAATAAAACAATATTCGTAAAGGACACAGCTATGGCACATTGACCATTTGTATCGAGCTGATGAACTACGGAGACTTCGGTTATATATTTCACCGATCAGTCAGCACAGCTGTAAAGGATATTGGGCCATGAGCAGAGGACACAGCTGACTGTTTGGGACAAAAACACAGTGCATAAGCAAAAAGTCATCCAGAGCGGGATCTACAGAGACAGAGAAGAAGAAAAGTTAGCTAAAGGTGGTTACAATTTGCAACATGAATCACGGTAAAGTGATTGTAAGCTAATTCTGTTAAATGTAATCGACTTCTTTTGTAAATGCATGTAATGTATGGTTAATGTATGCACTGTGTAATGTATATTTTTAGAGTTGCTACTTTTGA